GCTACTCAGTGGGCTGTCGGTGCTCTGCCCACCACGAGTATCGAAACCCGGATTTTAGCGTTGCAAGTCCGCAGACATACCGCTGTGCCACTGGGGGGCATCATAAAAGCAAAGCACGATTTACTAATTTTTATGAATGACTTAGAAACTCAAGCAAACGTGACAGAGAATTGGCATTTTCAACCTGTATGACCGTTTCAGAGATCCCTAGAATTCAAGCATAGCCAAACCTAATTTTTACCTATTCATCAGAGGGAAGGCAGTTATCCAGCAGTATCCGCCATTACAAAGGATCTGTCCGGCTGTATTAACTAAATAACCGGATTAGTTATCACTTTTGCGATATCCTTACTGCTGAAAGTAAAGAGCGTGTTCAGCAGCATCATGAAACCTCGAACCCTCTGATCCTCAGCCCGACGAACCAACCATTATCTGTTAGTAGTAATATCTATCAATATACATATATTTAAGCCCAGCTTCCTTACGAAAGTTCAGTTCGAAAAGCCCTGTCACCAGACATGCTCACCCTTTCACCCATGAAGGCGTTATAATATGACGGTCAATCCCACTATTCGTTGGTAAAAGAGTAGCTCAAGAGTTGTCGGTAGGTGTTTTTGTCTAGCTGCCTTCCCTCTAGTCAATCACTACTACATTAGACAGATAGCCCTCTTGTAGCTTTGCGCGAAATTCAAAACAAGCCAAACCAGTTCAAAAAGAGTTGTCAGTGAAGTTGAAATAATGACTAATGATTTATAATTGTATATAACTTGGATGATTATAGCTTGTTGTGATAGGATTGGAATAATTCTTGAGTTATCTATTCTGTTATTAACAATATTTTAGGGCTTCAACACAATTAATTCAAGTAAGATATTCTATTTTTGGTGTTAATTTTGGAATATTTGAAGGGTTTTATTGAATCATATTACATTGTTAATGTAGTGAAAAAATCAAGAACAAATCGGAATATCGCAGTGAGGAGAAGAGTCTTTAGTAGCATAAAAATGGTTTTAATAGGAAAAATAACGAAAAACTGATTTTACTAGTTTTGTGCCTAAATAACAGGGCCAAATAGGGTTGTCTCACAAACAAGTTTTTACACTTACATTCACACTGAATAATAAATGGCCACACTTTCTAAGTCAGAATCTTTCGTAACATATCACAAGCAAATCATTTTGTAATATCATGTAATTAACATATAACTGGAAAAAATCATTTTGTAATATCACGTAATTAACATATAACTGGAAAAAATCATTTTGTAATATCACGTAATTAACATATAACTGAAAAAAAAACATTTTGTAATATCACGTAATTAACATATAACTGAAAAAAACATTTTGTAATATCACGTAATTAACATATAACTGGAAAAAAAAATCTCAAAGTGACATACAGTGACAAAACATTTTCTCACACTGTACAAACATTGTAATTAAGAATTATCCGGGTAATGGTGTACAAAAATGACTTATTTTGAATACAACATCAATCCCTCATTCGTTTCAATGGAAAGACACTGAGAAAATTCTTAATCAAACTTAAACATTAAAACAAAGGTCCAAGTGAGTTTCTCGCTTTGTTTTCCATAACTAATTGGGTTTTATCTATATCTAGAAAATTAAAAGTATCCAAACTAATTATCAAAATTAATTAGGTCATTGTGAAATGCCAAATTATACTGCTCTTTTTCAAAGCCTTTTTTTCATATGAGAAGTATATGGAAATATGTTAAACACTTTATTTTATCAATAATATTTTCAAGTGTGAGTTTAGTTGGTAGGGCAGAGCTAAACATTATGGGTTAAAACTGTAGCAATATTTCTTATTGTGAATTAATTATAAGTGAAGTTACAGGATAAAGAAAAAGGGTGATTTGTAATGTATAAGTAGAAGAACAGTGTGATCAATTTTGTCTATAAATTCATTAATATTGTATTTCAAAAATCACCTTCTCTTTATACAAAACTGCTCTCTTTAACACCAAGAAGAAAGCACAAAAATCCTAAAAGTTATAGCTAGATCTTATACTAAGTAAGAAATATTTAGTTACCCCCTTCTGTTTGTAACAACTTGCTTATTTATTAATCCAAATACCAATTCTACAATACATTACTTGAATGATGTGATTGCGTGAGAAGTTCCTACGAACACGAACAAGAGATTTAGTTATAATCGAATTTGGTAAGAGATTAGAGAGTATATCAAAATTACTTTCTTCATGCTTCTGGTTACTGATGCGGCCACCAGGTGGTAGATTAGCATTATTTCTATCTATCTCCATGTGGATCAGCGGTAAGTCTGAAGTCTTCTAAAGCTAAAAATTGGGTTAC